GGTCCCAACCAGTATTCATTGAAAGAATAAATGAACAGTTGAACAGATGCACCTCGGTTGAAGGCACCGGTCAGCAGTACCCCTCGGATGTGACCAGGAGTGAGGGATGGCACTGGAAGGCAAGAAGGAGGGAAGGGCTTCCGTGCTGTCCAAGTTTACGAGACCCTGAGGTGGTGCCAAGCCCTGCACAGCTTCTGGCTATTACTTCCCAGCTGGTGACAAATACCCCAGACCTTGAAAGCACCCCTGAGCCCTGGAAGGAGCCAGTGGATGGTGTCAACAGCCTCCCATGGTGCAGCAGTGTCATCCAGCCCACCCAGCCTGTTCCCATGGACCGTGGCAGCGTGCCATTCCACCTGTCCAGGGTTTCTGGGTATTGTGCTCTCTATTCACAGAGATCCAGGAAGAGCCATAGGGGGCATTCCAGTCGCCCCCACTTTCCTCTGCCAGCAGTGTCCCTGTTTGGCTGCTCCTCCTTGGCACCAGCGGGAGGGACCTGGTGAAGCGCCCTGATCCAGGGAACAAATGAAGCCATTAAAGTGGTCAGAGGTGGCAGCCAAGACACACCTGAAGCCTGTCTTGTCTGAATCCCTATGCCTGCTTTCTGTGGGACCCACAGGGGGGCCTGGAGATGCTGGCACTGCACCATCCCATGCCTCCAGGAAGGGACCCAGCTGTGCTTCCTGGGCAATGGGACTTTTCTCACTGGCTGTGAAGTGAGGGAGGCTCCGGGCAAATGTGGGCAGCCCAGGGAATTAGGACTCCTGCTAGGCTACCAGACAGCTGCATCGCCTTTAGATGGCTCTTGTCCTGGGTGCCCTCATCACTGAGGCTCCTTCGGGCTCAAAGGCCTGGCCCTACTCCTTCCTGTCACTTCTCTTCCTAGACACACCCAGTCTCTAGACACACCCAGTTGCTACCACGTCGCGTCAAGACTGTTGTTCCATGAATGTTCTTAAGACATGCGTGTCCGTGTGTTCATGCTTTGCACGTGCACGTCTGTTGGGTGTGTCTGGAGAAGTTGATTTTGGAGGGAAGGGGCTGTTCCACCATCACTTAAACACAAACTTGAATGAAAAGAGCATCCCGTTTTGTCACTAAAATTGGCTGAAGGGGACTTGAGGGCTGCCCTCCCGCTTGCCCAAGGCACACGCCTGCCCATCAAATCTGGGCCCCATGGAAAGGCCTGATTATATGGACAGTAGAAGGGAGTGGATCAAGCGAGGTCTGGCCATGAGCAAGGAGAGGTCCCAAGTGGTGAATCTTGGTGGCTTCTTGAGAGTGACGGGCATATCTGGTGCCCTTTGGACAGCAGTGATTGCCCCTTAACGCAGTGGGAAGGGGACCGTGGGATGGAGAGTCTGACCCCCTCAGGGGCAGACCGGGTGGTGCCTCTCAGATGTCCCAGACATGAAGGGAGTGGGCTGCCCTGGCATGCACCAACAACCCAAGTGGGAAAGGGTTTCTGGTTGCAACGTCTCCGGCAGCACCACAATAGAACTCTCTTCTCTCCATTCAGCCCCTGGGAGTTGTAAACTGGCAGAGCCACATGGGATGCCCCCCTACCTGCCCCGACAGCCTCAGCTCCCCTTTCTCTTTCAGCACATACTCCAGGAGGAAGGTGCTGTGCACACTTAATTCACCACTGTATCTCCCGTGCCTGGAACAGTGAATGTCTGTCACACTGTAGGTGTTGAGAAATAGTTATTAACTAGAGGAGCGGTCCATCCCTGTGTATGGAAGGATTGGGGGGGTGGTTTGGGGCTTGCGTCCTCTGAGAATGTACTCAGGGACTTGGCTCTGTGCCTCAAAACTGTCTGCTCTAAGGAATTACCTAATCCCTTCTGTCCCCACCAAGCCTGCCTTACCTTCTCTGGCCTTGGCTGGTTGGAAGCCAAATCTCCTTGGTTTGCCCCCCCAACTCCTTCGGCCTCGGGAGGCATGCCTCCGTGCCTTCCTTGCCTCCTCCACCGACTTCCACAGCCCTGATTGCCACTCTAGCCTGGTCTCCTTGAAATCTACCACCACCAAGGACCTCAGTGTCCCTCTGGGGATGGGAGAGCCCACCCTGAGCTGGATGAATGGGGAACAACCTGGGGCAGCAGAGCACACACCATAGCCCTTGACCCACCACTCCCCAAAACCTCCAGAAAATTCCTCCGGACAGACCCAGGAACACCACGTTGTAGGAACTCAGGAGATGTGGAGAACAGAGAAGAGTATGTAGTTCTTCTCTGAACTAGTCAACCTAACTTGGGTGAACTGCACCTTCCATATGGGGTGGTAGGAGGCAAATCCAGGGCAAGGGGTGGTGGTGGAAGAAAAACAGCCTTAACCCTCAGGGGTAAGCTAGCTCCTGGACCACCAGAAAACCAAAGCGGTGGAAATACACAGTGACGGGCAAGCCTGAACAGGTAGTCTCAGGAAACATGCAGAAAGGGGTCAATACCTGTGCGCAGTTCATCTGAGAAGCCTTCTTGAGGGTGACGTGTAGGCAGAATTATAAAGGAGGTTAATATCAAAACAGACAACCTTCCATGGCAGAAAGGAAAGAAGACGGTATTAATAGTCTCAAGTTTTGAGGTTTTGAAGGGGACAGTGACACAGGCTATCAGGGAGGCTGGGGTATCCTCGGCATTCATGTAGACATCGTTCACTGGAGAGAAAGCCACCATGAAGGTCAAAGGCCATAGAAGAGGGAGTAAAGGAAGAACAAAAGTCAGAGGCTTTTCCATTTCCATCTATGTCACCAAAGTCCGTGAGGGAGACAGTCCAGCTCTGGAAACAGTCCGGGTGGAAAAATTAGAGAGAGGAGGGAGGGGAAGAAGGGGGCCGCCCCAGACACATGATAAATGGAAACAGGACGAGAGGTAATGCCTGGGAATAGGGTTCCCCAAGAGGGCATAGGGAAGAAAGGAAGGACCCAGGCAGGAAGGCGGACTGGAGTCAGCTCCCACACAGGAAGCGTGAGGGGAGAAAGTGGAGGTGGCCCCACATTGCCATAGGCTACAGAGCTCCCTAAACCTCTCCACTGGCCTCTGTTGGTGGAAAGCTCTGAAGGGTTTCCTCAGCACAGGTCAGGAAATAAGTGTCTCTTCTCTGGGAGAAAGATTATCATGAGATGAATACGGAAAACAAAGACAATTATTCTTTCCGCCCCAGACGCATGAACCACCTGGCTCAGACCTGGGCACCCCGACAACCCGGTGAGAAAACTCCCATGTTCCTCTTGCCCTGTATCAACAAAAGCTATGATTCATAGGTTCCCTGTGGAAACTGAGACTCTCAAACAATCTCTCCACGGAGGAGAGCTCCCCCCACCCCTGCTCGCTTCAGCCGCAAGGAGGAAAGAGCTCCATGAACCAGGGCCAAGCTGTCATTCCAGGCCGGTGAGCGTCAGCTAGCCCATCATTCCACGTGCATCTCTGAAAGGACACCTGTGTGGGAAGACCAAGGAATCTGGCTCAACTTCTCCATAGATGGGTACCACTGGTCTGTTGATTTTACCATTCAGGGACACAGTTTCCGGCAACTGAATATACTGCCATTCCTCTCTCGCTTTGCTAGCTTTTGAAACCAGTGCAAGGAGCAAGCGGTCAGTAAGATAAAAGAAAACCTAACAATTTCTCTGTTTGGCTCCCCCACCCCAGGGTAGAAGCAATGGGGTGAGAGGAAAAGAAAGGGGAGGCCAGAAGTTTGCAGGCTTCCTATTGGTTTCCATTGACGGCGATGTGGGCTCAGTCCACAAGACGAACAGGGAAAAACAAGACAATTTCTTGGGCACCCTCCACTTAGTGCAACCCCCAGAGCTCTTACGATCAAGACTGAAGCCAGGGACCCCCGGCCTTCAGCCGGAGTGATCAGTCTGGGAAGTTTCTGGAATAAGGCAGCCTCAGATAGAGCTGGGAGGCAGTTTATGGTACATCACTTTTGTATAAATTAATGAACTTCAGTTCTGTCTTCCTACTCATACCACAAGCCTGTTACTAAAGAAAAAGAACGTGTATGGTGTTCGTTTCAAATCCCCACCAGACTTGCCACAGGGAGGGACATGCGGCTGGCTCTTCATTCATACGTGCTTGATGCACCAGAAGGAGAGAAGTCTCCACAAATGCTTCCTTGGCATTTGCACGTCCTAGGCATTGCAACAGTTGTTTTCCCACACGAATCCTCGTCACAAACCCCACTTTACAGACACCTGAACTGAGGCTCGGGGAAAGCTCGTGCGCAGCGCAGGGTCTCACGATGAATAAGTGGGGCTGGGACTCAAACCCATCGCCCCACACTCACAGCTTCTCTCTGCAGCAGACAGACAGAGGGGCTGGTCCCAAGAGTCCTGTTGTGGAGCAGACAGGACATATGTGTGTGCATGGCCGCCCACTCCAGGACATCAAGTGTGACCTACACTGTAGAGAAGGAAGCTTATGAGGAAAACAAAGGAGCAATCAAAACTGGATGGTTTCCTAAGAAAGGTGAGTGTGAAGCAGGATTTTTAGGACCTGGAAGGACAGCGTGGGGCAGGGGACACAGCGGGCACTTGGTGAGAAAAGGCTCAGGGGCAGGAAGCACAGGTGGGAAGAGGAAGGCCTGGGAAACAGGGAGTTGCGGCACTTGTTTTGACACACGATGTTTGCCCAGGAGGGGGTGGGTCCCAGGCCTAAGGAAGCGGTTTAGAAATGAGGCGGTGTTTTTAGAGCCCATTAAGAGATGCATGATTAGGACATGACTGAAAGCAATTAGCATGCTTCTCATTCGTCTGCTGATCAAGTTGCGACTGGAAAGGAGTTTCCACGTGGGGGAGGGATGCCAGGGAACCAACCAGTGGCCTTGACACCGTCCCGGAGGGGCGCTGAGCGTGAGTTCAGGGCTGGCGAATGCCTGGGGGATGTCATCAGAGGCCTCCCTCGGCAGTGCCCCACCCCTCCCGCAGGCCCATAAAAGCCAAGGCGGCCCTGGGCTCCCCAGGTGCCCCATCTTCTCCACCCCCCCACCCCCGTCACACGCGCCCGTGTCAGGAGCTCTCCTCGACAGCCTCGCTCAGCACCATGTCCAGGCAGTCCAGCATCACTTTCCAGACCGGCAGCCGCAGGAGCTTCAGTGCGGCCTCGGCCACCACCCCAGCCGCCGGCCGCTCCCGCTTCAGCTCGGTCTCCGTGGTCCGCTCTGCAGGCGGCGGTGCGGGGCTGGGCAGGATGAGCAGCACTGGGGTCGGCTTCGGGAGCCGCAGCCTCTACAACCTGGGGGGCACCAGGCGGGTCTCCATTGGGGGGTGCGGCAGCAGCTTTCGAGGTTGCTTTGGTGGCAGGGCCAGCAGTGGGTTTGGGGTCAGCAGTGGATTTGGCTATGGGGGCACAGCCGGAGGAGGCTACGGGGCCTCCGGCTTCCCTGTTTGCCCACCTGGAGGCATCCAAGAGGTCACCGTCAACCAGAGCCTCCTGACTCCCCTCAACCTGCAAATCGACCCCGCCATCCAGCGGGTGCGGAAAGAGGAGCGGGAGCAGATCAAGACGCTCAACAACAAGTTTGCCTCGTTCATTGACAAGGTGAGCTGGGGGGTTGCATGTGTGCCATTGGAGTGGGGTGGCGGGAACGCTTGGAGAGGCCCTCCGCACGGACAGGGAGCAGTAAGGCAATGGCCTCCCTGTGGAAAAACACATCCACTCAATAAGTACCTTGCAAGCGGGGCCAGATGGCCCCACGGGACCTTGTGGAAAGTTCCTTCATCCTCGCTGGGAGCCACGCAGTTGGTTTAGCCAACACCGAGGGAAGAGCTACATTGTTCTCCACAGGAGGAGTTTCCACTGAGCCAACTAGCCTCACTCAGAGCAGGTGTTGTCAAGACACTCAACCCAAGAATAGAGCCTACCCCTAGAGACCTCTAAGCCCACCACACCAGTTCTATGGAAGCCCCAGAGAACAGTGGGGCAGTGTCAAGGATTTTCCCATTCTGATTTGGAGTGGTCACTTATATAGTTGACAGATGGGTATCATGTGAAAGGTGGACTTTTCTTCTCTCCCTTATCAGTTGGAGTGTCTGACACTGCCTCCCCAATTTCTGAAGATTTCATTCTCTCGGGGTGCCTGGTTGACTCAGTGGGTTAAAACCTCTGCCTTCGGCTCAGGTCATGATCCCAGGGTCCTGGGATCCGAGCCCCAAGTCGGGCTCTCTGCTCAGCAGGGAGCCTGCTTCTCCTCCTCTCTCTGCCTGCCTCTCTGCCTACTTGTGATCTCTGTCTGTCAAATAAATAAATAAAATCTTTAAAAAAATTTCATTCTCCCTCCCTCCAGGTGAGGTTCCTGGAGCAGCAGAACAAGGTCTTGGAGACCAAGTGGGAGCTTCTTCAGGAGCAGGGCTCCAAGACAGTGAGGCAGAACCTGGAGCCTTTCTTTGACACCTACATCAATGACCTCCGCCGGCAGCTGGACAGCATCACCACAGAGAGGGGCAGGCTGGACGCTGAGCTGAGGAACATGCAAGACGTTGTGGAAGATTTCAAAGTCAGGTAAGGGGAAGACGGGCTGCTGGCCACACACAGTCGTCTCAGGACTCCTTTTTAATAGGACCAGCAAGGTGCAAAGCAGCAAATACCAGTGCCCACAGGGAGGTTTGGAACTTGGAGTCATTATCCCGTGATTGGAAGATAGCATGGCATAGAGTAACAAAGAGACTTGCATCTCACCCATCGCTATTAACAAGAAGCCTATTCTGACCTGTCCACATGACCACAAAGGGATGTCTGCATCATCTAACATAACATGGCTATTCTGGAAAGCATGATACCATTTCACAGCCAAAATATTCTTTAACTCTGCTGGCACGGGGCCCTATTATTGAGCTGGTGCATTCCCAGGGTAAATGAGGCAATCCTCCTGGGGGAGGCAAAATTTGATTGGCCATCATCTATGCTGCAGTAGTAGGTGAGATATCCAATAAAAAGTGTTGTCCCCCCTAACTCCTTAGCTGGCTTACCCTTGGTTTCTGAATTAGAGCCACTCTTATTTACTGAAAGCATGCTAATCACACAGCTGCTCTGAGGCTCAGTGAAAAGACCTCACAATCTACCAGGAATGGTTTCCTTCCTGAACAAGCAAAATTTACCCCGCAGTTCCAGCAGCCACTAGAGGAAGGAACATTTTTTAAAGACTGCAGTTGTGCATCTCTAAGAAGATTGAGTTGCATAAGTACGTATTTCTATTCCCATTAGTTCCATGCTCACCTTCTACTCTTACAAAAGGAATAATAAGAAGAAAAAACTGCTGGCAGAAGAAATGATTCCCCTTTTATAGAGGGAGAAATAGAGGTTAAGTGAATCACCCCAAGTCACACACAGGTCAGTGGAAGAGCTGGAAAGGATCTGAGGTCTCTTAACTCTTGCTACACCAGAAATGCTCCTCAGTCGGGGAAGAGTTCAACTGAACCCTTGCTCAACAGCACGCCCCCTCTCCTCTGTGCTTACAGGTACGAGGATGAAATTAACAAGCGCACCGCTGCAGAGAATGAGTTTGTGGCCCTGAAGAAGGTGGGTGGAAATATCTCTCAAAGGAGAAGATTCGAAACTGAATCTTGGAGTATGCAGTGACTTGACCCTTGAAATGGCACAGAAACCTTCAGAGTATCTGGAGAGTTCAAATCTGCCAAAATGCTCCCTTTGTATTTATGTTCCCCTGACCCTGCTAGGGTTTCTGTTAGCTCAGGAGACTCAAGCCCCCAGTTCTCTACAATCACCCACCACATCCCCAAGCCCCAGATCCAGAGTTTACTAAAATCTAACCTGGAGGGGCCAGGGAGGAGTCTGCCCAACTTCTTCAGGACTCACTGCTTGGGGCCGGGTCTCAGGGGAGCATCCTGTGCTGTTGTTCTAGGATGTGGACTCAGCCTACATGAACAAGGTGGAACTGGAGGCCAAGGTCAACTCTCTGACTGATGAGATCAACTTCTTCCGGATGCTCTTTGAGGCCGTAAGAGCCTGCAAATGTTTTTGTCCCTCCTAGGTCTGCAGCCTGGGGAGAAAAGGATGCTGCAAAGAATGTCATCTTTATGGGGCCTCCATCTAGCATCTTGCCCCAGATGGTCCAAACTGGGGCTTGGGTGGTCATGGGCACCTGGGAGAACTGCTTGCAATCTTGCCACACTAAACCCTACTCCAGCTCTGAGGCTGCTTCCCCCACCCCATGGCAGCAAAGACGGAGTGCTGATTCTTGAATCCCAGATCCCTGGGTAGCATTTCCAAGGAATCAAGACACACCTCTCCCTCTCCTCTCCCAGAAAAGTTCAGAAAAGGCAAGTTACCCCTCAGTTCAGGGTGCTTCTTGTCCTCTGAAGATGCCTCCTTCTGGGCACTGCCACTCTGAAGGCAGAGACCTGGGTCTTTGAAGGAGAGAAAGAAGTAGGGAACGATGAAGTCACACTGTACAGGGGGAAGCAGGGTCCTAAAACTCACCGTATCCTAAAGAAGGCTTTTATGCTGGCATATGAATCAACATATGTCATATTCAACTCAGTATAATTTGAACCAGAGAACATTCAGGGAAATGTTCAGGGAACTGAACTCTCAGGGAAAACACACAGGTGGGTGTCTTGAGAAGCTATGCTGGAGCACACCCCCTCATCGCACTGATCTATGACCCGGAAACTTTTCTGGGATTGGCATTGGAGTCCCTAAATGGCTTCAAGTGCCCAGGGAAGGGCTGGAAGAATCCCTCCGAGGGAAGCAAAGAAGGGATTCCTGACCTAGACAGGTAGTAGGTCCTGTGATTTCAAGAACATTTCTTTTTATGCCTTGGTGATGCTGAATTTTCTGGCTCTACAGGAGCTATCCCAGATGCAGACCCAGGTCAGTGACACGTCTGTGGTCCTGTCCATGGACAACAACCGCAGCCTGGACCTGGACAGCATCATCGCCGAGGTCAAGGCCCAATACGAGGACATCGCCAACCATAGCCGGGCCGAGGCTGAGTCCTGGTACCAGACCAAGGTGAGTGTAGGCACCTCTGTGATGGGTTCCAGAACTAGTGTTATCTGAAACCCCAAATAATCATTTAACTATTAGCCATGAGCATCAGGGAATACAGGAGCTTTTCTGTTTCTTTCAACATGGCAGAAGTGTCTGGTGCTATGAAAAGTCAACTTGAAATGGGTGTGGAAACCTAACCATACCCCTTACCATGTGGTCAGGCAATGTTGGGTGCTCAGGTCAGCCCTTGTCCCCAAATCACTTATGATCTGGTTGGGCCTGGGTGAGACTCCAAAACAACCAAGAAAGAATCACAGAGCTATTTCTAAATGGCTTATTTATTCAATACACTTGTGTCAAGCAGCATTTCAGAGTTGCAAATAAATAAGCTGCAAACAGTTTATTTTTTATTAATAAAAAGCTTCCAAGAAGAGGTGGGTCTTCCTTGCATTTGGAAGCATCCAGGGACAATAGATGGCCAAGGACGGGGGAGGCATTTAAGGGAGAATAAGCAATCCTACGGGGGCCAGAAGATAGAAATGAGGACTTTGCTGAGCAAAAGACTCTATCAAAAAAAAGGGGCATTGGGATGACCATTGAGAGCTACTGTCCAAAGTCACAGATGGCCAGAAGAAGGTTTGGCATTGGAGGTTGTAGTGACTGGATAGTCCAATCCATGAGATCACCTCTCTGACCAGTGCAGACCCCTCTCAAGGCCAGCTGTTCACCTACATGTGGCTTCCATCTTTTGCCCTGCTGTGCACACTGCCTTAGTCGCTACCACTGCAACATGGTAGGAAGGAAGAGGGTATCAGGTCCTGGGGTGCACAATGCAGAGGGACATCCCCTTTAGAGGCAGAGGCAGATGGTGAATGGAGGAGAGATGTGCCTAAGTTGAAATTTATAGTGGTTGAGATTTACAGTGAACATTTCCTTTTGTTGGTAGGGCCTGTTGTTCCCTTAAACCACATGTATCTAGAAATGGAGCAGGTGGGCCACCCAGCACTTTCAAAGCCAGACAGATCTTCACTTGGGCAGAGGCTCTTCTTCCCTGGGAAATGTGTGGGCTGGAGACAGGGGCGTTTGTTTCTCCTAAATGAGTGCATCCTGGATATGCCCCACTAGGTAGAGAGCTCCCACAGATGGGGGATCCTGTTACAAAGTCTTCAGAACTGTGCACCCTTCAGCCTGGCTCCATCCAACACCCCCAACACTGACGTCTGGAGAGCTACCAAAATTCATGGTCACATGGGTCTGGATGTATGTCCCGTGACCGGGATCCCTAAAAGACACTAACCAAATCACCTTTTCTCTCCTACTCCCACCTGCCCAGAGCTCACCATGCTTCTTCCTGCCCCAGGGTCTTCACACAGACTATCTCCCCGATCTGGAATGTTTTCTCCCCAGCCTATCACTTAGATCACTCCTTCCCACCCTTCAGCACACAGCTCGAGCACCTCTATCTCTGGAAGGACTTCCCTGAGCTCCTCCCCACAACTCCATATCTGGATCAGATTCCTTTGTTACACTACCCATTCATTTCCTAAGGGACATTCATCCCAGTTTGGAACTGTAAATTCAATAATATTTCATTAACATCTATTTCCCCCAATAAACTGTAAGCATGGGTCTGATGATGCTGTCCGTGATACTCCCAAAGCCTGGCACGTGCCTGACAGGTAGGTGGGGCTAAGAAATACCACCAAAATGACTGAGCAAGGGAGTGCGTGAATGATCAGCGAATGGTTGGGCCTCTGGGTGGCCCTGAGGGCCAGGCTGTGCACATGGAGAGTACCCAGTCCAGGTGTTTGACAAGGGGACTCACTCTGCTCTGATTCCATCAGTATGAGGAGCTGCAGGTCACAGCCGGCCGGCACGGCGATGATCTCCGCAACACCAAGCAAGAGATCTCTGAGATGAACCGGGTGATCCAGAGGCTGAGAGCCGAGATCGACAGCGTCAAGAAACAGGTAGAGTTTTGGCAGGGCCAAGAGCTCCTTGCACACTCATTTCTCCCAGGTCATCCTGCCATGCTTCTAGGACTCCTACCCAAGAAGCACCACACCTCCAGGGGTTGTCAGTTAGGCTCGTGGCTTCCTCCTTTTCTTATAGTGTTCGAGCCTGCAAACGGCCATCGCTGACGCAGAACAGCGTGGAGAGCTGGCCCTCAAGGATGCCCGGGCCAAGCTAGTGGACCTAGAGGAGGCCCTGCAGAAGGCCAAGCAAGACATGGCCCGGCTGCTGCGCGAGTACCAGGAGCTCATGAACGTCAAGCTGGCCCTGGACGTGGAGATCGCCACCTACCGCAAGCTGCTGGAGGGCGAGGAGTGCAGGTGAGGACAGATGCACCACCTGTTCCAGCTGCGCAAGCATGCCTAAGGGCTCAGGTTGCTGTGGAACCTCTTCTCCTGGAATGCAGACAGAACTGGGCTATGAGAAAGAAAAAAAAAAAAAAAACTAAAACAAGCAGGTGCAATTTCTTTCCAGGTTAGTAACTCATTATCAAATGCCATTATTTGAAGCACAACTGCTTTTCACACCCCATAAAAATCTAGCATCTGATCAGGTCCTAAGTAATAAAATTCTATCAAAGGAGAAATTGTGTTACGCAGCAGGTCTGGTATGAGAATAAACTGTCCCAGGATTTGGGCAGACAGGCCTACCACCAACTTGCTACGTAACCTCAGGAAAGCCAGTGTCCTTTCTCTGGTCCTCAGATTCTTTGTGATGGAATAAAGAGGCAAATCATCTGATCCCCAAAGTTCAGTGCTCTGCCGATTACGAGCTGTGTGACCGAGGGCAAATTACTTTACTTTTCTGTTCCTCACGTATGAAATGAGGCTAACCGTGGTTTCCATCCTATATGTTATTAAGAGTGTTAAAATAAGGGGCACCTGGGTGGCTCAGTGGGTTAAGCCTCTGCCTTCGGCTCAGGTCATGATCCCAGGGTCCTGGGATGGAGCCCCGAGTCGGGCTCTCTGCTCAGCAGGAAGCCTGCTTCCTCCTCTCTCTCTGTCTGTCTCTCTGCCTACTTGTGATCTCTCTCTGTCAAATAAATGGATAAAATCTTTAAAAAAAAAAAGAGTGTTAAAATAAGGGAATACACATGAACTCCTTAGAACATTTCACGATCCATAACAAGTGTCAAAAAATGCTAGTGATCATTCAGTTTTGTGGCCATAGATATGGGCTTTGGAGCAAAGGGAGTCTGGCTTCAAATCTAGCTTTGTGAACACGGGCAATTAATTCACCTCCCTGAGCTTCGGTTTCCCCATCCATCAAATGGAGGTAGCGACACCTACTGAATGGGGTCATGAAGAGAATTAAGTGGCATAATGTGGGTAACAGGTATGTAGTCCTTTTTAATGTTCTAAGTATGTGTTTATGAATGAAGGCCAGCTCTGTCCTTAGCATGCGAAAGCAAAATTACTCTGGTTGCTACAATAATGGGCTGATTATTGTTATTGTTATGTTTATGACTCAGTCTCCTCTGCACACCTCTAATCACCCCAGGCTCTGCCCCATGCCTGACAACGGTCCATTGTTGAGAGGGAAATCTTATTCCTTAAGGAGCCCTGCCTTTCCAGCCCACTCTAGTGTATGATTCCCTTTCATTTCCTCCAGGTGTCTACCTAGTTTGAACCCCCCCCCCAAAAAAATGTGTTTCTGAGATTACAGGTTTTCCTCCAGATTGTTATTTTTAATACTACTACTATTTAAATTATTTCAACCTCCACTCACAGCTGCAATAAAAATAATAGAGGGTTTTTCAATGTGCTTCATTACAAAAATGTGATTTTAAATGCCCACGAGCTGCTGGACATAATAGTAACGTTCCTTCTCCCTCTTCCCCCTGATCAGGCTGAGCGGAGAGGGCGTTTTTCCTGTTAACATCTGTGAGTATGACGTCCTCTGTGTCAGTTCACATGCATGTGGTTGGGGCAGGGAGGTGGCATCACGGGGGAGGGCAGAGGGCATGCACAATCATCGGAGTGTACCCCCCTCAGACAGGGTTCATTTTGAGGTTTGAGGTCTTGAATTCTTTAAAAGGAGAGCCATATTAGGAGTCTTTTTCATTCTTTCTTTTTAATTTTTTTAAGGAGAGAGTCTTTAATGTCCCACTTCTTACCTCTTTGCAAGGGACAGAGCACCAAAGGGAGGGTGAGCAGAGGTTTTCTGTGACCCCTCCGCATGGGTTTAGACCCACAGGTTCCGCCCCCCACCTCCCAGGACCTCACCCCTTTCTCACTGGAGGTGAAAGTCTAGATCAGACAAGAGCATTCATTATGGACAGGATTTAGGAAAGCCTGCTGTGCCCTCAGCCTGTGGAGGGAGCCTCCACGCTGGGCCGAAGGGCATGGCCAGGAAGGCCACACCTTCCGGGAATGGTGTGGGGAGAAGCCCTGCCGCTCCAGTTTACAGAGTATAACTGCAGAAGGTCACCCAGGTTTTTCCAGGCAGCAAGAGTGCATAGGACAGGGTAGGTGGGTGCAGCTGCTCGGGAAGGGAGAGGTGGTAGTAAGCTGGTGCAACCCCATGCCACTAAGGGTGGAGGTCACTCACAGAGCTCACTGCTGGCATCATGAGGCCGACTGGGATGACTTTTCCAGCTTGCATCCTATAAGTGAGTTTGGTATTCCTGATACAGGATTCACAAAACCAACAATTATGTCAACAGATGACTCTAGAAGGCAGAGCTCTCTAAACTACCCAGCTGTCCTCCTTCACTGATATCCTTGTCTAGTGGCTCCTGAGACCCTCAGAGCTAGTTTTGGGGATGGCTGCTGTAATTTCTAATGTTCCTTTTCTCTTGAAAGCGCATGAAAGTCCGTGTTTGTTATCCAGGGCTGCCGCATTGCAGTACCACAAACTGGGGGGCTTCAGATAAGAGAAATGTACTGTGTCATGCTTCTGGAGAGTTCTTGGTGCTCCCTGCCCTGCATCATGCTGATCTCTGGCTCTGTGATCACATGGCCCTTTCCCTATGTGTCTGTCTTCATGTGGACGTCCTTCCTCTTCTTATAAGGACACGAGTTCTATTGGGTAGGGCCCTCCCTGATGATTGTATCTTAACTGGATTCCATCTGCAAGATCCCATTGCCAAATAAGGTTGCATTCGCAGGTACTGGAAGTGAGGAATTCAACCTATTTTTTTTTTTTTTTGGAGGACACAGTTCATTCTGTAACCATCCATTTTTATTTCAGTTTCCCTTCTGAAGAGCCCAGTGTAGGGATTGCATGTTGAAGGTGATGCATGGTTATAAGAGCTAGAAAAAGAGCAGGTTGGGGAGCGGGGCAGAATGGGAGCAGAGTTGGCTGGCCAGTGGGTCATCTGTCACTTGGTCTAGCAAGATTACTCCAGCTCCATTCTGGGATTCAGGGTGCAGAGGCTGGGGACACCGAGGGAAATGTGTATGTGCCCCCCGGAAAGAAGAGAGAAGCCAGAGCCAGGCCCACAGAAGGAGAAGGGGACAGAGTGGCAGGGGAGTGTGAAGGGATCAAAGGGAAAGTCACGTGGAATAGAATCGCTTCCTGAATGTAAGAAGTCTCCATTAAGTTCTGAAAGGAACAGCTAAGCGCCAAGTAGCAGAGAGGAAGCAGGAAGCCATTCCAGACAGGAAGAGTGGCCCAGGGAAGACCAGGCTGAGCACAGACAAGAGCTCCCACTAAGTGGGCGGGAAGCCTGGAAGGAGGCAAAACTCTGCCTGACCAGACAACCACACCCTCACCCCACAGACACAGGGGCACGGGCCCTGACACTCCAGGTCTCTTCTCTCCTGCCCTGGGTCTTGACTCTCTCTCTTCTCTTCTGGCAGCTGTGGTCACCTCCACTGTTTCCAGTGGCTACGGCAGCGGCAGCAGCCTTGGAGGCGGAAGTCTGGGTCTCAGTGGGGGCAGCGGCTACTCCTTCACCACCAGCGCTGGGCACAACCTGGGCTCAGGCCTGGGCAGCTCCAGCTTCAGCGCCAGTAGCAGCCGGGGCCTTGGGAGCAGTGGCTCCAGTGTCAAGTTTGTCTCTACCACATCCTCCAGCCGGAAGAGCTACAAGCATTAAAAGCAGCCACCCCACTCCCCCACCCCTGCACTGAAGCCTGCCGGCTTGCTGACCTGGCCTGTCTATACTCACAGACACGATACCTGGGTCCTTCTCCTTCTTCTCCCCTGGCCCATCTGTGCTGCCAGGAAGCAAGCCTGGTGTCCTGGCTAAACCCTATTCCCCAGCTTAAGCTAGCCTCTGCCCTCCTGACAGTCCCCAGAGTGCCCCACCCCCCCGCCCTCTCTGTGCCAATGCCCTCCCTCTCTCAACATTTACATATGGCTTATCTTGCGGAGACCACCCCCCTTCAACTCCTCCTTCTTCCTCCCCACCTTCCAGATGCAAAGATGGGGAGTGGGTGTTTCCCAGGCCATCTCAATGCCAGGTTGGCAGCCCACCTGTCCCACAATGCTTATAAGCTGCCTGCCGGGAGTGAGAGCTCTCTTCCCTCCCAGGGATGTGTCTATTAAATGCATGTGTAATGTGTTTGGTGTCCAGCCTTCTGTCTGGCGTGGTTATGCAGCACAGAACATTTCTCCTCCTCCCTAGGCCACAAAGAGAGCCCAGGGCACATCAGATCTTCCTCACTTCCCTCAGAATGAAGAATGCTGGGCTGGGGAGATGGAGGGATGGAGGGAAGCTGACTGCCAGCCAGACTCCAGGATGGTGTTTCTGCCCACTTCCTCCTGCCTCTTGTTGGAATGCCTTCTTTGAGAAGCCCAAGCCCCTGGGCAGCTCTGTCTGTCCTCCCAACTCTGTATGTCATTCAGGGCGATACCATCCCCTCCCAAACACAGACGGTTTTCTAAGGACACTGACGTAGGGTGGGCAGCCCAGCCCTTCTCCAGCAAAGGGGCTGATTGTTCCCTGACAGCTTCAAACTTGCAGACCTGAGCAAAGAAATAACAGGCCAGGAGAGGAGTTAAAAGTCAGCCCTGGGGGCAGTGCTTTCAGCAAGCGGAGGAGCCGCTGAGACCCATAATTGCAGGGGGCAGTGAGGCATCCAGGAAGCTCCCACATTCCTGAGTTTACAGTCTCCAGAACCCCTCCCATAAGGCAAGAGCCTGGCATCACCCAGACTGGGGACCGCTCACGTGGGTTTAGAGGAAGTGGGCTCAGCGCTCAGGACCTGGTAGGAACCAGAAACTAGGACCAGGACTCTGAACCATAACCAACGAGATGCCATGCAGGAAGCTAAGTGACAGGCGGGGAGAGGCCATGAACAGAGAGAAGATGAGTATAAAACCAGGGGCTAAAGCCTGAGAGGGGTGGCAGGAAGGAGAAAATTGAAACAGTGGGTAATCATTAAATGTCCCTGGTCCCCAGGGACAAGAGGAATAGCAGGGATAGGAAATATGAGAAAAATCCTGAGTCTGCCACCCTCGACAAACCACATCTCCTCCACCAGCATCAGGTGCAAAGATCCTGTGGTCAGACCACTGCACCCTAATATCAGCCCAGCACCCACTAGCCATACGACCGCGGCCAAGTCTCACAACAACTCTATGCCTTAGTAGCTTCATGAGCAAAACAAGAGTAATAATAGCTACCCCATGGTGCTGCATGAAGATTAAATGAGAAGACAGGTGAAAAGCAGCTACCTATCAAAGCTGCTCAATAAATGTTGGCAACTATTACTCTCCTCCTTACCCTCACCAAGTCATTATGTGAATCGAACGACATAATGCTTGCAGCTGACCTGCCTCATGGTCTGGCAAAGACTGAGTCCTCAGTAAATGAGGTTTCTCTTCTTTTCCCAGCAACAGGAAGGGCATAATCCAGTACTTGGGTTCAGAGTCCAAGACCTAGGAATCCAAAGAGAGGAACAGCTTAGAAAGAGTGGGAGTGCCTGCCTTGTGAGCCTGAGAACCTGGGCGGGCAGAGGGCTCAGGACCCACGCCTGCCCCAGGCCCGAATCCCCAGGCCTGGTCCTGTCCTGGGTAGGGTGTTCCCCGTGATGATTAGGGGGCAGGAAAATGGGTGCTGGCCAGACATGCCATTGAGGTGAACTCAACAGAGTGGTCTTTGATCTTCTCTGGCCAAGCCCAGTTCTTGAAAGGGATAAAAGTCAAGGAGAGTCTGGGTCAGCTAGACTTGGAAGGCTCCTCATCCCTTTGACACTTGTGCTCCTCTGACTCTCTGACACCAGCTCCCACCATGACCCAACGATCTTCTGTCACCATCAAGTCAGGAGGCACTAGGAACTTCAGTGCTTCCTCGGCCAGCCTCCTCCCAGGCTGCCGGCCCAGCTTCAGCTCTGTCTCTGTGTCCCAGGGTGGGAAGAGCTTCGGGGGCAGCTGTGTGGGTGGCTTTGGGACGAGGAGCCTCCACAGCTTCGGGGGTAGCAAAAGAATCTCCATCAGTGGAGGCTACCGCTGTAGCCGGGCCAGCGGTGGAGGTGTCGGCTATGGGCTGGGGCTCGGAGGCATGGGCTACAGGGCCGGGGGAGCCTTCGGCGGGTATGGATTTGGAGGCGGGATGATGTCTGGCTCCGGGGGCATCCAGGAGGTCACTGTCAACCAAAGCCTCCTGACCCCCCTCCACCTGGAGATCGATCCCTCCCTCCAGCGGGTGCGAAAGGAGGAAAGGGAGCAGATCAAGACCCTCAACAACAAGTTCGCCTCCTTCATTGACAAGGTGAGAGGCAAGTGGGATCCCCACCAGAAAAGCAGCAGGTGATTGGGGTATCTCTACTTTCTGTGCTTTTCTGAGGTCACCTGGGACTTGCCCAGGACCTGCGATCCTGGGGGCTTGGAAGACTGCTGACTTGGTGAAAGAAGGAGTGGTTTCCCACCTTGTTGAGGTGGGAGCAGAAAAATGTTCATCTCCACACTCCAGAGCTGTCTGACCTACTACAAGGCCATTGCTCTTTTGATGGATAATGAATGTGTACTCAAGTCAGACAGCAAAAAGGGATAATTTTGAAGGCAAAGGAATGAAGGAATGAAAGGTTATGAGAAGCGTGCTGGGGTCACTTTTTCCTGCAGTTAATAGGGTCAAGTCCTCCTGTGGTGACTTCCCTGGTGACTTGGGTATGTTGGGGAAGCTGAGTGGTTGACAAGGGGCTGGCTTTCCCACTTTTCTTCTAGTGAGAGCTGACCTGTGACGTCAGCCCTGAGGACGCCCTGTGGAATGACCTTGTCCTCCTAGGGATTTCCCCAGGTCTGGGAAGAGTAGCTTTTCTCTTCTGTTCTGCCACTGGTTCCCCCGTGAGCTTGTTGCTTTGTCTGGGAAGAACAAATTCAATGATATGACTTGTTCTGGCTCCATATATGAGACCTGGAAAGAAGAGTGCTAGACTCTTCCAACCTAGATTCTAGTGCTAGGAGAACATCCCCTAACTTCTTGGGCCTTGGTTGGGTTGGACAGATAGACTCCACGGTGACTCTGCAGGTCTAACAGTCTATGGAATGTCTCATCCATATCTACGAATATGCCAGTCTAACCAAAGGGACCGTTGAGCAACGGGTTCTTCCATTTGATCACCCATGTCACCCCATATGGCCTGGTATTTGCACCAACAGATGTGAGGTTTCCAGGAGACGGACTGAGAGGAAAAGGCAGGCTCTCCTTTGCTTGGTTCATCTGGAAGGGATGTGGGGAAAAGGAGATGTGATAGCGAGGGACTTGAGGCCGGGATTACCCCTCTTCTTTTAACAACAGAGAAGAAAGGTGGGCAGGGCAAGAGGGACATTTGTTAAAGGCCCTCTGGAGGCACACTGCCATCTCCAAAGTTATGGAGGCTCCTTCATTGCTTCATTCGGAGGCTGTGTGTCATTCCAAGGGACCCCAAAAGAAAGACTTTGCATAAGGAGAAAGGTTTTGCATATTCCCAAGGCTGCCTCCCAGATGCAGGAGCAGATAGAAGAGTACAACTCAAGCAAACCAGACTAGTAGCACAAGACCACAAGGGACCCAAGAGAGCAGAGGGGGCTTCCTAGTTCACACAGCAGGCCAAAGACATGGCTGGCATTGTGGCCAGGTCCCCCAGTGCAACTTTAGAGTGACCCATTTCGGCATTCCTGGACTGTATGGACAACTGAGTCCAGGTTCTAGATCTAGAGAAATCACGTGGGAAAAGAAATGGACAGACTAAATTTTCTGCCAAGAACCTCTTACCCATTTAATGGGAATCAAAATCCCACCCAGCCAGATGACGGTGGAGTGTTCTTTCCATCAGCATTGTTTGGTGGATACAGATGGTTTCTAGCCCCTCTGGTCCCGGTCCTCCTTACTTCTCCCACCTCCTACTTAAGCCACTGCCTGTCTCCCAGGCCCATTTCATCCACATTTGTGTGGTTCTCTACGTTCCAGGCTCCTTCCAGGATGACGACAAGGGGGAGACTGCCCCCTGGACTCCAAGCTCCTAGAGGGCCTCCCTGCATTGTTGGGGGGCCCTGTGTCGCAGAGCCCTCTGGGAGGCTGCTGCAGGGCAGCCCTCATGGTCTCTCCCCTCCGGCCTGGGCAGGTGCGGTTCCTGGAGCAGCAGAACAAGGTCTTGGAGACCAAATGGAGCCTCCTGCAGGAGCATAAAACCACCAGGGCCAACATCGAGCCCATGTTTGAAGCCTACATCAGCAACCTGAGACGGCAGCTGGACTGCCTGGGTGGCGAGCGGACACGGCTGGAGACGGAGTTGAAGAACATGCAGGATGTGGTGGAAGACTTTAAGAACAAGTGAGTAGACGCTCAGCCAGCTCCGGCAAGGGCCCTGCCCCGAGGGTCCTGGGGAGGCCCTGCTCTCTGAAAGTGTCGAGTCTAGTGGGGCAGTGGGATGCACACTCAGGGCAGCGAGGCAGAATCAGATAAAGAACTGGGACCCTGTGGTCAAGAACAGTGAGGCTTTGGGGAGAGGTGGGGCTGGAGATGATGATGACCTGCACGGGCACCAAGAGTGGGTTTTGCACAACCACCATGTGAACCCTGCAGATGGGGGCAGTGAGCCTTGGAGATAGCCCCTGACTTAGCCAACGTTGTGCAGGTGGCAACTCATGAGTTCAGAATCAAACCCATAGACTCTCACTCTCACATCTGTTCAACTCAGCCCCATTGCTAACTCACATGAGGGCACACACTCATCCCAGCCTTGGCCAAGGCCAGGAACAAAGCAAAAGGAGACAGATTTGCTGCCTTCTCTGCGGAACCACACACACCCAGCCCACTAAACATGATGGCATGCTTTTGCCTATAGATTCAAGCAGCTTCTTACTTCTGTTGTTTTAATTTATGTCTAATGCTCTTGGTCAAAACAAAATAAGGGAGTTGATAAGGAGTTTTGGTTATAGTTTGTATAATGTAATGAGAATTCAGGTCTGAGATTAATTTAAATGGTAGCCACCACACACCTGTAGCTGTTTAAATTTTAATTAATTAAAATTAAATAAAACTTAAACGTTACTTCCTCAGTCACACTAGC